TGCACTGTGACAAGTCCCCACTCACTGCAGTGGGAACACACAAGCAGTGGCTTTGACACAGTTTTCACACAGCCTCAGGCAGTGCCTGCCAAAGAGATCTTGTGCTATGTTTTTCAATTTGAAGTCTCTCCTGATTTTCAAAGTTCTGAGTGCTGGGCAGTTCCTGTGGGATCACAAGGAAGCCACTGTGCAGTCAGCACTTCCAGAAAGGTTTCCAAATATCTGCTTGTTGAGATGCTATTCAGCAACTGGTTTTGCACACCTTGCTCTTGACAACAATCATCAGAGTTTTCTGGAAGTATTTGCTCATCATGTTAATTATAACTGATTTAATAAGGGTGATTGTTAGTTCAGTCTGAAAAAATGTTATCTGGAAAAGAAAATACATGCTGAAATAAGTTGATGCTCATCATAAATGCTGAGGAAAAACCAGAATCAGTCTTGATTTTAAGTGATTTGAAGAAACATGTCTAAATTCTAAGTAGCCAGGTTTTGAAGTGTTTCTTAAATCTGCTTAGAAACCAAACTTAAAAATAGCTAGAGGTGTTGGGAGTTGTTTATGAGTTTCTTTTTTACTGCTTAATGGAAGAAAGACATTGTAATTCTTGTCTTTGTTTTGTTTTAAAATCATTAATAGTAGGGACAAGCCTTGGTTCAGCCAAGGGTTGAACTGGACCATGTTCCTTAGCATGCTTTGAGTTTTAACCACAGGAATAAATATTTGAATTTGTTATCACAAGACCCACTGATTGGTCTAGTTGATGGAGAAAGGTTTTATAAAACAAGAAGACGACAGTAACAGTGCAGCTCACAAAAATGCTCAGAGGAATACAGGGAAAATTAGAACACTGAAAAGATGAAAATACTTGATATTCAAAAGGAAGATCGAGTGTCTGGCATCAAATAAAAGCCCACTAGTGGTTATTTTCCTAGAAAATGAACAAATGTGAGTGTTAGTGATTTTGTTGTCTTTTAGCTAAGAACTGAAACCTTTGTGACTTCTTGCCTACGGTTTTGACCTGTGAAATCCAGAGTTCTCTAGGCATTTCATACATGGGGCTTCTCTTCCAAATTGCATAAGCTCTGATACAGAAGATCATTCTCTTTGTTCAAGACATCTAATCTTGGTTTTTGACAGCTGTTGACAGTTGTGGGAACACTGGCTTTGGGGCAGGGTGGGTCAGAACCCATTTTGATGGTCCTTTTTGCTCAGCTCTCAGCTAAGAGACATCCTTTGGAGACTTTATGTTAGAAGACCTCCATTTGTGAAAGAGGGACATGGGAGCTTGTGGCAGTCTCTGGTGTCTCTGTTGTTGGATGACAAGCTCTGGTTAGCTGATTTTTTTTCTTTAGATGGTGCAGTTAAACTCTATGAGAAAACTAATACAGCTCATCTTCCTTGTTACTATGGTTTGATAGAATGAAATGGTATGATCTAATCTGAATTATTTTCCTTATTAGGTATTTCAGCCTGGATCACAATAAATTTTTTAACAGGTATGTGTACATGAGCATGTGTAGAAGGATGTGACTGATGCTGTGACGTTCGTGCTGTTTTATGCCCCTGCATGAGATTTGCTCACTCATTGGCATGGAGAGTGAGAAAGAAGGATCTGGGAATAAGTCAGCAATTGTTTTTGGCCTGGCCTATTTAAGTCATTAGGATTTTGGCCATTTACTTGACAGAATGAGGAGTTTAATCACTTTTCCTAGATGTCCAATGTAGTCTTTATTTCAGTTCCCTGCAGGGTACCAGAGCATTTAATTCCTTTTTGGAGTCTGCCACTAGCTCTGGCTTCATTTTTATGTGGATATTCTAGACGTGCTTGGCAGCTGCATACAGAGTAAAAGAAAGTGCTGTGCTACTTCCTTACAGATTTATAACGTAGACATACCACCAGTGTTTACACTGCTGAGTTAGAAAAGAGTAGCTAAGAGTAAAGAAAAACCTAAGCTGGAGCCCTTTCTGACAGTAGGTAAAGCAGTCTGCCATCTGAGGATTCTGTTCAGCACATACTGTATGTGGAGCACTGCCAAGTGTTCTAAAGCTTTTTATGCTCACAGGAAGTATCAGAAAGGGCAGAGATCTTCAGACTTCAGCTATGATGAGATATACCAAGGTACTTGGCACAAATCGTTCCTGTCAGGAAGGTGTATTTGAAGGATCTAACTAAGAAGAACTGGATTTACATAAGAAGAGAGGTCTGGACAGGCAGGAGAAAGAATTCCAAGAGAGGAGTCTGTTCAGCCAGCTCTTTTCAGTTTGTCATCCCCTTGGCCATAGGAATCTGCAAAATATCACCAAGGGATCAGGGAGAGGTGGCCAAGAAAACCACATTCCTCTGTGTTACAAAGTGGTTACCAGAGAAGAGTTTGCAAAAGGGTCCTGAAAAATGTTTAGTAATTCAATAACCAAAGCTGCTGTAATTAGGGCATGAACAGCCACCAGAGACATAAGAGAAACTGACAGTTGAAGATTTTCAGGTCACCCTGGTAAAGCCAAAATAAATGCCCTGTAGATGATGGTATAACGTGGTGCTGGCAGGAAGCTAATACATGGAGTTAGATTGTTATCTTCCTTTACCACTGTACTTCTAGCTTTTTTTCCTAGCCAGTTTCTCACAGTGCCCACCATGGCTTTCTCTGTTCTGTCATGCATTTCAGGTAGCCTAAATGATCCACAGAAGAGAAGCGTAGGGATGTTGGATTTGGGTGGTGGATCAACACAGATCACCTTCCTTCCGCGCACCAAGGTAACATGAGCGTGCACACTGTTGGGAAATGCTGCTGCAGAAGCCAGTAACTGCTCAGATTTGTTCCCCGTGGAATCAGACAAAGAGTTTGTCAGTGTGATGTGAGCCTGCACTTCTGACAGAGAAACCCAGGTCACTTGGTCATATCTGCCTTATTCTAGTTGTGGAGGCATTAACAGCTCTTTGTCAGTCCTCTAACTCCAACTCCATGGGTCGCTGCTGCACGTGGTGAATCTGCCAGGGCTGTTTTATCTTGGGGAAATCACAGTGTTCACCACAGCATCTTAATCCTTGACTCTCAGTTTGTGCTGCTTATCACAGAATCACAGAATTTTTTGAGTTGGAAGGGACCTTGAAGATCATTGAGTTCCAACTCTCCTGCATGGGCAGGGACACCTTCCACTAGAAGAACTCAATATATTTTATATATATAATGAAGAACTCCAAGACAACACTGTTGATGAATTCAAGTCCAACATTTGGCCTGTACTGGGTTTTAGGAACACAGTAAGGTGCCTTCTCAATCCTTGTTTCTGGTTTTTCTGAGTTCACTCAGTTGCAAATGAATGCTTTTGAAGGAGCAACTGTTATCATGCA